CAGGACCAGACGGGTTCACAGCTGAATTCTGCCAGATGTACAGATAAGAATTGGTACTATTCCTGCTTAAAGTATTTCAAAAAATTGAGGAGGAGGTGCTCTAACTCATTCTATAAGTCCAGCATCATCCTAATGCCAAAACCTGGCAGAGATACAACAAAACAAGAACATTTTAGGCCAATATCCTTTATATACCTCAATGCAAAAATCCCTAACAAAATACCAGCACACTGAATTCAGGAGCACATCAAAAAGCTTATCTACCTCAATCACGTAGACTTTATTTCTGAGATTTAAGGTTGGTCCAACATATGCAAATCAATAAATGTGATTCAGTGCATAAACAGAACTAAAGACAAAATCACCTGATTACTCAATAGATGCAGATCAAAGCTTTCAATAATATTTAACATCCTTTCATATTAAAAACTCTCAATAAACTAGTTATTGAAGAAATATGTCTCAAAATAATGAGAGCCATCTTTGATAAACCCACAGCCAACATCATACTAAATGAACAAAAGCTGGACATTCCCCTTGAAAACTGGTGCAGGAGAAGGATACACTATTTTAACCTTCCTATTTAACATAGCATCAAAAGTCCTGGCCTGTGCAATCAGGCAAGAAAAAAAAAGGGGGGCATCCAAATAGAAAGATAGGAAGTCAGACTCCCCCTATTTGCAGATGACATGAATTTATATCTAGAAAACCCCATAGCCCAAAAGCTTCTTAAGCTGGTAAGCAACTTCAGCAAAGCCTCAGGACAGAAAATCAATGCAAAAGTCACAAGCATTCCTATACATCAATAATAGACAAACAGAGAGTCAAATAATGAATAAACTCTCATTCAAAATTACTACAAAGAGAATAAAATACCTAGGAATACGGCAAACAAGGGAAGTGAAGAACCTCTTCAAGGAGAACTACGAACCATTGCTCAAGGAAATCAGAGAGGACACAAACAAATAGAAAAACATTTCATGCTCATGGATATCAATATCGTGAAAATGGCCATATTGCCCAAAGTTATTTATAGATTCATTGCTATTCCCATTAAACTACCATTGAATTTCCTCACAGAATTAGAAAAAACTTACTTTAAAATTTATATGGAACCAAAAAACAAGCCCTAATAGCCAGGGCAATCCTAAGCAAAAAGAGCAAAACTAAAGGCATCACACTACCAGACATGAAATCATACACAAGGCTACAGTAACCAAAACCACATGGTCTGGTACAAAACAGACACATAGACCAATGGAACAGAGTAAATAACCCAGAAATAAGGCTACACACCTTCAAATCTTCAACAATCTTGATAAAAACAAGCAATGGGGAAAATATTCCCTATTTAAGAAATGGTGCTGGAAAAACTGGCTAGTCACATGCAGAAAATTGAAACTCGATGTCTTTCTTACACCTTATACAAAAATTAACTCAAGATGGATTAAAGACAAATGTAAAACACCAAACTATAAAAACTCTAGAAGAAAATACAGGAAATACCTTTCAGGACATAGGCACGGGCAAACATTTCATGATGCAATTGCCAAAAGCAATTGCAACAAAAGCAAAAACTGACAAATGGAATCTAATTGAAATAAAGAGCTTCTGCACAGCAAAAGAAACTATCATCAGAGTGAAAAGACAACCTACAGAATGAGAGATAATTTTTTCAATCTATCCATCTAACACAGGTATAATATCCAGAATCTATAAGAAATTTAAATAAATTTACAGGAATAAAACAAACAACTCCATTAAAAAGTAGGCAAATGATACTAACAGATACTTTTCAAAAAAAGAGATTTATGTAGCCAACAACATATGTTTTAAAAAGTTCAACATCACTGATCATTAGAGAAATGCAAATCAAAACTACGATAGGATACCATCTCATGCCAGTCAGAATGATGATTATTAAAAAGTCAAGAAACAATAGATGTTGGCATGACTATGGAGAAATAGGAACACTTTTACACTGTTGGTGGGAATGTAAATTAGATCAACCATTGTGGAAGACAGTGTGGCGATTCCTGAGAGACTGAGAACCAGTAACACCATTTGAACCAGCAATCTCATCACTGGGTATATACCCACAGAAATATGAATAATTCTATTATAAAGATACATGCACACATGTTTATTTGCAGCACAATTCACAATGGCAAAGACATGGGATCAACCCAAATGTCCATCAACAATAGACTAAATAAAGAAAATGTGGTACATATATACCATGGAATACTATGCAGCCATAAAAAGGAATGAGATCAGGTCCTTTGCTGGGACATGGGTGGAGCTGGAAGTCATTATCCTCTGCAAACTAATGCAGAAACAGAAAACCAAACACCACATGTTCTCACTTATAAGTGGGACCTGAAAAATGAGAACACATGGACACAGGGAGGGAAAAATCACACGCCGGGGCCTTTCAGCATTGGGGTTTGGGGGAGGGAGAGCATCAGGATAAATAGCTAATGCATTCAGGGCTTAATACCTAGGTGAGGGGTTGATAGGTGCAGCAAATCACCATGGCACATGTTTACTTATGTACCAAGCTTCCATGTCCTGCACATGTATCCCAGAACTTCAAAATAAAATAAAATACGTATATTTGGAAAATAAAAAACCCTTTGTACATGGCTATCTTTTCTTCCTGTGTTCTTAAAGGGCATATGTAATAAAGATTCTGATTCCATTGAAAATAAATAAATAAATAGTAAAATTAAATTTTAAAGACACCCCTAAGTGAAATAATTGGCTTTAAGAAATACAAGTAATGTTTTCCTTTATGGGAGGAAAAAAAAATAAGGAATTCATTTTTTTTTCTTAGCCAAGGGTATTAGTTTTCCATTGCTGTGTAACAAATCATTACAAACATAGAGGTTCAGAATCATGCAAATGTATTATCTCACAGATTTGATGAATCTGGACACTGGTTAATTGCATCATCATCTCAGGGTCTAACCGAGTGAAATCAAAGTGTTGGCTGGGACTATGTTCTTATCTGAGACTCAGGGTCCTCTTTCAAGCTCACTGGTTATTGTCAAAATTCATTTCCTTGCAGCTGTAAAACTGAGATTGCTGCTTTATTGCCGGCTGTCAGCCACGTATTATTCTAGCTTCTAGAAGCCACCTACTCTTCCTTCCATGGTGCCCTCTCCACGCAATGACGATTTGCTTCTTTAAGGCCAAGAAGAAAACATCACTGTTGCTTCAAATCTCTCCAACATCAGGAAGACCTCAGGGTCTTCTAATGGCTTGACTGATTAGATCAAGCCTACCTAGGATAATTTTCATGTGATTATCTCAAAATCACCTTATTTGCAGGCTTAATTCTACCAGCAAAATTTCCTCACCTTTCTCATCTAATGGAACCTAATCACAGGAGTGAGGTTCATTCTATTATCACTCAAGAGGAGTGAATAATACAGGACATGTACTCTAGGGTATGAGGGAATTTTGAGAGTCATTTCAGAATTCTGCCTACCATATCAATAGAGAGATTGTCCTGAATTTAAATGTTTTTCTTTTCATTCCTAAAGGGAGATTTGTTTACTATTCACTCAATATGTGGGTTCCATCTCTCAAATAAAGAATAACAGTAAAAAAGACAATTATTAAAACTCTCTCAGTCCATTTTGTATTTCTATAACAGAATACCAGACACTGGGTAATTTATAAAGAAAAGAAACTTAGTTGACTCATGGTCCTGGAGGCAAGGAGGTCCAAGATCATGTCCCAGGCCATGTCTGATGAGGATCTTCTTGCTGCATCATCCCATGACACAAGGTAACAGTGCAAGTGAGAGGAAGTGAGCAAGAGATGACACTCGCAGCCTCAAACCCTCTTATAATTAGCATTAATCCATTCATGAGAGTGGAGATCTCATGGCCTAAACACCTCCCAACGCTGTTGCATTGAGGATTAAATTTCCAACACATGCTTTTGGAGGGACACATTTAAACCATAGCACTGTCTATGACAACTCTCCCCACCTTCCTTGAAGAAATAGTCTTTGGGAACTTTTGCTTCAGATTGACACCAACTGCTGTCCCACTTTTGGGCAGCGCAGGCCTAGTGCTTGAGGCAGTACTTTCACCATTCCCTAATGGTATGGTTTCCATACCCTCACTTGCTTCTGGACATTCTCAGAGCATTCAGCACCATCACAGACAAGAAACAAAGAAGTGCTAGGGACTCTTTGCCCCTTAAAATTCTGGATTCTTCCTGAAACTAGCAGAGATTAATCAGGTGAGAGTTAACATAGCCAGGCTAGAGTTATGAATCTATTTATAATAGAATCCGATTCTACTCAGTATCAGCTCTCAAAACAAAACTCATTTTACTTTTGGTAGCAGACACCTGTAATCCCAGCTACCAGGAAGGCTGAGGCAGGAGGATCATTTGAGGTCAGGAGTTCAAGACTAACCTGGGGAAATATATATATATATATTTTTTTCAATATTATGGCACAAATTAATTTCTACTTCTTTCATTTTTCCAGTATTGTACAAAATTAAACTATAGTATGATTCAAATGCCAAAATGGAAAAATCATACAATGAATGTGTCTTTTCTTGTATGCAATGTATACTGGAAATTATAATACATACAAAAAAATAAAATACATAATGTAGTATCTTCCTCAGCAAATTTATAAGATAATTAGATTTAAAGAATATCTAAACATGGTAGAATACAGCACCATAATCAATTAACTGTGTCTTCCATGGACATAGAAAAAAAATGGCCATGGAGGTACAAACAAAATTAAGAAATATTTGCCATACATTTCCAGGAAAAAAAAAATGTAGGAAAATTGGGTTAGAGAGAAGAGTAGTAACTATCAGTTATTTAATTTCCACTTCATTATAGCCATTACAGTGGATATTCCATATACATTATCAAAGATCTTCACACCTACCTTGCAAGGTATCTATATCACTTTTTAGAAATCTTACAATAAAGAGAGACAGAAAGGTTAGTAAACTTACCCAGGGACAAAGAAGGGAGTGAATGAGCTGCAATGTGTCCCCAGATTTAGCTGAGCTCAAAGCCAGGTCATTTTCTCATATATCATATTGTCTCTGGTAGAAGGCAGTGTCAGTGAGAAGTCTGATGTCATATGTCTCCACAGCACTGCAGTAGCACTTGCTCAAGCAATGTTAGACTCTTCTGGTTGCTTAGTGACAGGTTTTTTTTAAAAAAAAAAGAATCACAAAAACATAAATGATAATGGCCACTACCCTGCATGTAATGAGATTCTGTCCCTTAAACTGGTTTATTTTCATAACAAATTTTAGTAACAGACTTTTTAAATCTTATCCATGAAAAAGTTTTCAGCCAAAATCTCATGACTGATTAAATTCTTGGATTTGGTCATTTCTTTTCTTCTAGTTAAAAACAAACAAAAAACCCAGCTAATAATGCTCTACATACAGAATGTTCAGCTCCTTAGTTTCTCAGGCTGCTTCCTGTGTTTCAGCTTGTACAGATCAGACCCAGTCTTCTTGAAAAAACAAATCATTGTTTGAGTGGGAAAGAGTCATACTACTTCGGTAATGTACATAGGAGGATGGGGAACAATTCTATAGCTTTGTATTATTATATATTGATCTAATTGCTGTTTCCTCTAGTGTTTCTCTCCTTCCCCATTGAGAAGCCAAAGTGAGAGACTTGTGCTTGCATGTCCAGAGCCAGAAACATATTACCATAGCAGCCCTGCAAGGCAGCGCTGGGAACCAAACTGTGAAATTGTGTTTCCCCCAGCGGAGTGTGAACAGCACTATGTTCTTCTAGTTTCAAATGGATTAAACCACACAATTACAGCAAATACTTAGAAAATCCTGAACATTGATTCTGTGTGTGTGCGTTTATTTTAGCAGTGCTCAAGAGAAAACTAATCAGAGAGGAAAATTTATTAAAATAAACGTTTCCTTGGCTAAGCAATGTTTGAGCTGACATTTGTTTTTCATTGGTGTTTGACATGTATTTGGACTGGTCCTTTAATTTTTTATTTCCTGAAGAATGCATTTTGACAGAGAATATGAGGGAAGAAAGATCAGTGGAATGATAATAATAATGATTTTATGATAACTAGAAAACAAATTTAGACACATATCTGCAGCAAAATTTACATTCCAAAGACCATATCTATATTGTATAGAAAGCTTGTGCAAATTGGTATTTAAAATACTAACATTTGAAGAAAGTATATGAGTAATTGGAATTAAAGTTAGTAAGATAATATTTAATATATATGTATAAATGTCATCTTATTGAAATATCGAAATAAGAGTAATGTGGCTTTTTAAATCCATAAAATAAGACTATTTGGTAATCAAGCAGACAGTGTCATATCTAATTAATAAAAGTGATGAAAAATAAACAATCACTAATAAAACAAAGTGACAAAATTGGAAGATTCTTTTTGGAGAAATATTTTTTTCTTGTGTTTCAAGACATGTAAAACAATTATAACCTTTGATCCAATTACCCTACTTTTGGTAGGCACATAGATTAGGAAAATTATCCTAAACAAGGAAAAGTTAATATACATGAAAATGTTTATTGCAGCATCTCTAAAGCCCTTAAAATTATGAGGATTATATAACAACCTAGAATACTACTTATAACAAACTGAAAAAGAAACAATTATATCTGACTGCTAATTGTAACAATGTAAAAATCATGCCTAGATAAGAATTTTATGATGGAAAACTATGAAAGCAGTTTAATTTGTTACATGTTAGACTGTGGATCATTTTAATATGTTTTATTTTAATTTCAGTAAATGTTACAATTTTACTTGTCTAGCAAAAATAATTTCTTTAAAACAAAAGTTTTTAGCAAGGAAACTAACAACAGCACTAGAAGTCCCCCAGTAACCATTCCCTCATTCTTCCATTTCAGCTGGGCATATGGTCACCAGAGTAAAGATGACAATATTTAATCTCCTGTGTAGCCAGGAGTGGGCATGTGACTAAACTGTGGCCAATGTGCTATGAGTCAGAGTGCCATGTGGCAGATTTCTAGATACCTCCATTAAGAGGCAGCTGTCACATGACCATCTCTCTACTTCTATGTTCCTTCCTCCCGCTACGCAGGCTTTGGAAGCCAACTTGGACAAGGGCCACTTCCTAGAGTTGGCGAAGCAGTGTAACTGAAAGTAGTCTGGGATTACTTTCAGTTACACTGCTTCAAGACAGCACTGAACAGAGTCCTACACCCAGAGTGAGCAACAAACGCTTGTGTAAACCACTGTTGTTACTTTTCTCTTACTTGCAGATGTATCTCAGCCTACTAAATGCAGAGGGATAACCCCAAATGCCAGTTAGTTGCAATCTTTAAGCCATAATCAGATTTTTTTTAAAAATAGCTAAAATCAAGGAAAGGAAAACAATGTGAGGCCACTCCAGCACAAAAAGGTTGCCAAAATTGACCCTAGGGGAATGAAATTAGTTGACAAGATCTAGGCATGCTAGTACTACGATGCCAGGCATTCTCAGTGGGAGTCTTATCGCCACAAATAGATAAAAATTGGTTGTTAGAGGATGAAAAAAACTGTAGGTATTACAGAGGTTTGTAGCTCTTCAACAGACCACCATACAAAAAGGAACATTCAATATGTCTGTGGTATTGACATTGTATTGGGAGCAAGTACTACTGTTTAGAACAAGGCTCTGAAAAGGTTCCTTAGGGGGTTAATCATGAAGAGAAAGCAAGCAAGCAAGCAAGAAAGAAGGGAGGGAGGGAGGGAGGGAGGGAGGAAGGAAGGAAGGAAGGAAGAAGGGAGGGAGGGAGGGAGGGAGGAAGGAAGGAAGGAAGGAAGGAACGAAGGAAGAAGGAAGGAAGGAAGGAAGGAAGGAAGGAAGGAAGGAAGGAAGGAAGGAAAAGACTACATCTCTCAGAAACACTGCTCAGTTTGAAATGTCCTCTCCTACCTGTTCTACCAAACATATCCTTTGTATTCTTTTAGACTCTGTAGTTTCCCTAATTAACCACTACTTGTCACATTACTTTATTAGTGACTGTTTATTTTTATATCTCTCCCCCTAGATTTTTTAGCTGATTACAGGAAAAAGATGATGCCTTTCAGTTCTGAATCCAAAACACATTGCTTGGCATGTATTAACAGCACAAGAAATGTGAATAGCTGAATGAGAACCCCAGGGGCATTTTTTCTTTTAAGTTTTCATCTCTGGCAATTCCCACTTCTTAACAATGGACACAATTCTCCTTCTGCTTGAATGGTGACACGCTGAGACAACATGTGGTGATGTCACTTCATTGAGAACACATGGCCCTTCTCAAACAATCTGTGGAATAAATTGGTAAAGCAACCCAGTTCACTGCAGTAACATCCTCCTCCTACTTATTTTTACCAATTTAGGTTTTCCTGTTAAAAAATACTAATAATAAAAAATAAAAATATTTAACCTTCTTTATATTCATTAATACTTAGCATTTTCCTCTTTAGTTTCAAACACTAAGTTGACTTGACATCTGAAATAGTTTTCACAATAGAGCAGAGTTTTATATTTGGAATTTACGCAAACAATTCTGAAAAGGCCACTGCTAAAGAGAATCTCAGCTTTTCCAGTTTACAGGAAATATCACAAACATTAATTATGATCTGAAATCTGTTTACTAGTGGTTTGTTTTATCAGTGTGGCTCAACCATGTAGAATAATTTAAACAATAGTTATTAAGCACCCACCTACTGCATGCGAAGTGTTGTACGAGATCTATGGGAGATACAGAGTGAAAGGAAGTATAGTTCTTGTCTTCAAAATTGTTGCATTCTATTTGCGAAACTATCATGCCAGGTAATACAGTTAAGTGTCACAAAGAATATACCTATAGATGTTTGGGAATTTGGAAAATATAAAATTCAAGCAAATGAGATTTGATGGATAGGTTGACTGTGAGATGTGTTTTGGTTTATAATAAAGGGATATGTGACAGCAAGGTATTGCAGACAGTGTACAGGAAAGAACCAAAAAAGCACATAAAACTTTCCAAGGACAGTGAATGACCTACACTTGATTTGTATGCACCTTAAATCTGAGAAGCACTTATGTAGAGTATTTGTTGAAAAGTGAAAGAAAAAACAATGGCAATGTAGTATGAAGTCATTTCCCGAAAAACTACTACGTTTTGATGAAGACCTTTATAAGTCAGTAGGGACCATTGGAAGCCTTTGAGCATGTGATCTGAGACTATGTTTTAAGCAGATTAACATCACATATGTTTATAGGGTGATTTGCTAAGACTTTCAAAAGCAGAGAAACCAACAGGTAACTCTTTTGGAAGTCTGTAAAGAGTTAATGAAGACATAAATGAAGATTTAAGACAGCAATAGAAGACTCAGGATAAATGAGAGAACATTTCAGTAGTAAAATCTCCCAAGATGAAAACTGTCTTAGTCCGTGCATTCTGTTACAATAACCTGCCTTTGAGTAAGTAATTTGAAAACAACAGAAATCTATTGCTCACAGTTCTGGAGGCTGGGAAGTCCAGGATCGAGGTGTTGGTAGGTTTCATATCTGGTGAGGGCCTGTTTCTCATAGGTAGCACCCTCTGTGTATCCTCACATGGTGGAAATCAGCTCCTCCATCTTTTTTTTTTTCATAAGGGCACTACTCCCATTCGTAAGGAATTCACCTTCATGAAATAATCATCTCCCAAAGCACCACCTCTTAATACCATCACCTTGGAGATTAGGTTTCAATATAGGAATTTTGCAGGACATACACATTCAGACCATTAAAAACAATTCTTTGAAGGTCAGGGATAAGGAATTGATATAGGGAAAAATTATTCCTGGTGTTGAGACTGAGCAACTAAAGAGAAGCAGCTGAGAGAAATGTGGCATTACACAGAAAGAGGAGAATAAGGAGGGCAAGTAAATTGTAGAATGCTGAGCAGATAATGAGTCCCCATATGGCCATATTGAACCTGCTATACCAGCAAACATCAAAATGAAGATGTTTAACAGGCAGTATCAGTTGTTGGAAAAATGTAGAAGCTGAAAGTATAGTACTTGAAATCATGTAAACAGAGATGACTGTTGTGAAAATATTGGACAAAACAGAGTATGGGGATAGAAATTAAAAGAAACCAGGAAAAATACTTGGAGTCTACTAAATTTAAGAGATAAAAGCAAAATAGGAGGGAACAAAGGGGACAGAACAAAAGTCCCACAGGATATTTGGGGAAAACCATAGCAGCATATGCTGTCAAGACAAGAAAAGTTGGCCGGGCACAGTGACTCATGGCTGGAATCCCAGCACTTTGAGAAGCCGAGGCAGGAAGATCACTTGAGGTCAGGAGTTCGAGACCAGCCTGACCAACATGGAGCAACCCCGTCTCTACTAAAAATACAAAATTAGCTGGGTGTGGTGGTACATGCCTGTAATCCCAGTTACTCGGGAGGCTGAAGCAGGAGAATAGCTTGAACCCGGGAGGCAGAGGTTGTGGTGAGCTGAGATTGCGCCATTGTACTCCAGACCAGGCCACAAGGGCGAAACTCCGTCTCAAAAAAAAAAAAAACAAAACAAGAAAAGTCCACCTTTCCAAGAAAGAAACTGTGAGCACAGCAA